GTGTACACACGGGTGCTCACACACACAAACTACACCCTTTTTGGCTCCTACTTCAAAGCACACTGTGCGCTGTCGATCTTACGTGCTGCACAATAATGTTTAATATTTAGTATTTACTGTTATATTCCCATAGGAATAATAAGTTATCCTGAGTCTTTGCAAATTTTTGGCATGTACTTGGATTACAGTAGAACAAAAAAAAGGGGGGAAAAAAACAACAGGGCGTGATGTTGTTTATTATATTGCTCTTTTTTTTTCCTTCTGCTTGTTTTCTCTTTTTTCTTTCTCAGTAGGTGATCCAGGTGATTGATATATGTATTTATTTTGTCTGCTTATTTTGTTAGTTTTTGTTTTTTGCCCTTTATCACCGTCCCTTGTCTCCGCTGTTCTTCTCTCCCTCTTTTTTTTAGCAAGTGAAAATAAAATAAACAATACAAGGTGAATCTAATAGACCATTACGGCAAGGCTGGGATGGTCCATTTGGTAAAGTAAATCCATTGGCCATCCATCTTCACCTTTAGACAATAATTCCCCCCCCCCAAAGAAAAAAAAAAACCTTCCCTCCTGCGCAGGCAGAGCCGAACAGTCATATTTCATGTAAACATTCATGCACGTTTGCTTTTCTTTATAAAACCTTTGAGTTTACATTGTGCTGCAGCTTCTTTCTAAAACGATGTAAAGACATCCAAGTTGGAAGACGTCTGAGAAAACCTGAGCCAACTGTTTGACTTCAGGTGTGCTTGCTCCATCGAGTCGCTGCTGCTGTAGCCTCCCCTTTGCAGGTCATTTGAGTTAATCGGAAAACAAAAATAAAATGAAAGTAGAATCAAATACAATAAAGCAACAGTGGCGTCTCATGCTTCATTTTTAACTTTATTTGTTTTCACCAGTTGTTTGTCCACCTTCATTTACCACAGCTGTTGCTAGGGTAACATTACAGTGTTGGGCAGGTTACCATAGTGATACTACAGAGAGTAGCCATCAAAGAAGCTTTGTGCTGCATTCACTTACAGTTGGTTGACACTGGCATTGAGTCCTCAGATGAACTCTGAGCTGTAAATGTTTTATTGAATTTCTCTGTGTGCCATAGACGCCATCGTTCTGCATTCAAGGCCTACTGGTTCATCTCAGCTTCAGTACTTTGTGAGCAGTACTTCCTGTATTGGTTGGCGCAGCAGACGATGTACAAAAATGTCTACAAGGAACCAGGTCACCAGCTCCAAGCATCTGACAAAATAAAAGCTTTGTTTCTTTCTAAACGCATGATCGTAACCATCGTGTATAAGACAGCGCTCGCTTCTGTCACATCACCTTTTGGTTTTTCCCAATCCTCAAAGTCTTTTTTTAAATTTTTTATTGCATTTTGGTGCCATTTTGTTTCCAGAGCTCACCATATTTGGATGAGATGGCACAGCATCCATGTTATTAGTGAGATCATTAAAAAGTGCTCCAACAGCACAAACATAGCCCACAGATCCAGTTCAGGGACTCTAATTAGCTGAGGTAGGTGTTTTGTCATTCACCGGTCAGTCAAAAAGGCCACACCCCTAATAATGCAAACTTTAAGCCTTAATACAATTTAAACAGGTTGTGATATCTGTATCTTACTTCTGATATGAACCCAAATAAACTGTTAGACTCTGTTCTTCAGTGTGTAAAATTATGTAATCTGCATATAGTGACACCCTTCTGGTTATTCCTCTCTTTTACTTCCTCTTTATTCTGTAGCAAAAGTTTTAAATGGGTGTTATGAAGGGGGAAATTCTCTGCAGAGAACAACCAATTTGTGTATCAGGCTGTAAACATGTTTATTTCTGCTCTGAAGTTTTAACATGGGAGTGTATTGGGGACTGCAAGGTTGTTGTTGTTTCAGCCTCAGAAGTCTCAGGTTGTTTTTTTCCGGCTGAGTTTAAAATCATTCATTTACTCAAGTACTGACCTGCAGCGTGCCATCACCATTGCTGTAGATTCAGAAAATAAGAAGTCACACTAAACGAGTAGTTTAAATAACTGACTACTGCATTAATCTTTTAATTGGAGAGGCTTCAGGTCTGTCTTCTTAACCTCTAAAGATATTCAAATAACCCTCAGGAAACAGATCAGCTCTATCGGCTCAGTCCTGTGTGCTGACGGTCAGCTTGTGTTTTTTCAGCTTTAAAAAAAAAAAAAAACTTTCAAAAAACCACACTTCCTGTTGAAAACTGTGAGTTCAGCACTCAGAGAGCCAACTCCGCGTGGACCTTAAACACATCAACTCCCCTGCCATCACAGCAGCGAACTAAACATCTGGAAGAAGTCCAGATTTCACTCCACAGTTCCTGGAAAGAAACTCGGCTCTTTGCAAAGGATCTCTGTCATCTGACCCCCATTTAAACAAACTTAGAAATTAAAAATCAGAGGACATGAAATTCTCACACTGAGTTTCAACCTAGACTTTTAAGCCATTTTTACCTCATGAAATAATAATCTGTTTGTTCTCATGTCAGTAAAACTTTATCGACTACGTCTGCACTTGAACGTGAACTGCACAGAAGAAGAAGGTTTGACTCTCAGAGGATAAAACTTGAGGTAGGATAGATCTATCAGTGATCGATAAACCAATAAATCAGACTGCAGGTCAGAATATACCGTCCATATTTCGCTAATTTCCCCAAAAGTAGAATTATTATTTTTTAATCAGGAAAAGATTCTTCTCAAAACTACAAACATCTTTTTTTCTGAATTATTGATACTGATTTCCAAACAAAAATCAGTTGACCTTAAACGTCTCAGTGTGTCAGATTTAAATGAGAAGAATTTATTTAAAAACCACTGACTTCAAAGAAATTCAAAGAGATTTTTTCTTTCATTCTGGTGCTCCAAAGAAATGAATAATTTCAGGGTTTATTTCAGTAAAGTGCAGATGTAAATTTTGTTTAAAAAAAAAAGGAAAATGTCTGTTTGCTGTAAAGAATTTAAATCAGATTAAATTAAAACC